GATGCCATCATTGGGAAACCCTGGGGCCATCCCAGGATCCTGTCATCGACGAAGGTGCTTGCAGCCACTCAGAAGGAAGTGAAAGCAGGCCATGTCCGAGGCCCTATCAGTGATCCCTCAGACGGAACAGTCGCCAGGCGCTTTGGGGTACGGCAAGGTGAACCGGCGGGCGGCCCCAAGGTGCGACCAATTGATGATTATAGGAAGTCTGTGTTGAACGCCGCTGTCGTGCAGACCGAACAGGTCCCTGTTCACAGTCTTGACGTCGTCGCTGCCGCGCTCTCATAGTGGTTGCAGGCAGAGCGTGTGAGCTGTGGGGGCCGTGATTTGAGTGTAAAATGTTGGGACTTGCGTGCCGCGTGCAAGCAGCTTCCCTTAGATGACGTTTCCTTCGCAAGAGATTCCTTCTTCGGGATTTACAACCCACATGCCAAGCGGAAAGAGCTGTACCAACAGCTTGTCCTTCCGTTCGGATCCAAAGCAAGTGTAACCGCCTTCAGAAGGTCGGCCTTTGCTCTCTGGAGGATAGCATTGATCCTCCTGAAGGTGATATGGACGTTTTACTGTGATGATTGCCTCAATGCGTGCCGCGCCGAGGAATCAAGGCGCATGGAGATCGCCATTAGTATGTTCTTCCAACTTTTGGGGTGGCGCCTTTCCTTCAACAAACTTGTTCCCTACAGCAGCTGTTGCGAGGTCCTGCAGATAGTTTTGGACTTAGGTCAGGCTAAGCGAGGGCTGATGTTGATGTGCAACCCGCAGAGTCGGAAGGATGAACTGTTGGGGGCACCCTCGTTCCATCCTTGCTTCAGGACTTCACGTTGCCTTGAGAGGGGAGAGCTGGCCAAGGTCAGTGTCAGGTTGCAGTTTACAAGCGGCCAGTTGTTTGGGCGTCTGGCCCGCCAAGCTGTGCATGCCTTCTTCACCAGGGGTCGATTGGGGTCCGGCCTGGACCGGCGTTTAACGTGGGCCCTTGAGTATCTGAGCGAAAGGCTGTCGGCGGGCAAGCCAAGGGAAATTTCTCGTGGGCTTGGTGACACCCGACTTGCTTTCGTTGATGCGTCATTTGAGCCCGAGGGTTTTTTTGTGGCATACGCGGGTTAGTCTACGACGGTTCAGGCGACCTCCTTAAGTGGTTCGGGTTGCAGGTGCCCCGCTCTTTAGTTAAGGTCTTGCACACTTGTTTTGGCGAACTTTGCAATACGGTCATCTATGAGCTCGAAGCACTTGTGGTTACCCTTGCCATCATTGACGCTTTCCGGCAGGAGTTGCAAGGAAGGAATGTCATGGTCTTTACAGACAACTCTCCACGGCAGTTTCGCGAAGTGCCGGTCAAACAATCCAATTGGAAATGCACTTGCCTACTTGACTGCTCTGATCGAGTACGACCTCCATGCATTTGTTTACTATGACCGAGTTCCTTCCTTGACTACCGTAATCCCGCAAATGACCCGTCGAGGGGCGTGCGCACGTTGCCCCAGCACCTGCAGGTCTAGGTTGCCCCAGGTCAGCTACGTGAGCTCTTGGACAAAGCATTGTCCTGCGTGTGCACTAAGTAGTGCAAACGTCACAACTAGGGGTTGGCTACGTTTGAGGTCAGCGATTTCCCCACGTCAAAACAATCCGTCTGCATGAGTGATATGTGATTTGATTGATGAATGTTATTTCATGTGTCTCACCTATTTAACTGAGTGCCCGGTACTTTCTAAAGGGGAAATAAGACGCCACTCCGCGCGCGGATCAGTTTTCATTTCCCCATGAGAATAATTGTTTTGCATGTCCAAAACAATGAGGGCACGTCATGTTTTCAAAGTTGCGGAAGCCAGTTTTGATATATGTATTGTTGAAGTTCACTTAATGCCATGTTCCGTGCATGGCTCAAGTGGATGGTGTGGGAGGGAGCCTTCTTTTGTTGAAGCTTTTGTTTTTCCCACCCTCCCGACCCGTTATCCCTGCCGGTAGGTACCGGCGAGCAAGTGCTCTGTTTCACTGGCTACCGCAAGTACATTTCTATATATATATATATATCATGGCCCTGGGCTGGCCATGTTTGAGATCAGCGATTTCCCCACGTCAAAACAATCCGTCTGCATGAGTGATATTTGATTTGATTGATGAATATTGTTATTTCATGTGTCTCACCTATTTAACTGAGTGCCCGGTGTTTTCTAAAGGGGAAATCATGTAAATGTAGGCTCATCCTCGTGAAAATGTCAGTTAATTTGACTAGTTAAGGCTTTGGGCAGTAGTAGTGAAGCTTCCAAAATTCTTGAAGATTTTACGTGAGTCCAACCCCAAATAAAGCCAGACGAGTATCCGAATTCATTTAATTCATTTTCTTTACGGAATATATGTTTCTAATACCATCGTATTATGTATTCTTTGTTTTGCTCCAGTGTTTCCGGTGTTGTTTTTTTTGATAATCTGTATTTTTATCAATTCTAGAGTTATTTGAATTGTTTCATTTTTTATTATGAAATATGTACTGTATTGTTTTGGAAAGGTCTGCGAATTAGATCATTTTCTTCATTTTATTTACTAATACATTCAACTATTCACGTTTTCTAAGATTGTCGTCTCCCTTTTTTGCATCTTATTTTTGTAATATTCTCATTTTTTTATATTATTTCATTGGTTTAATGCTTTACATGGAGAGGGGTCGTTGGGTGCAGGGATCGCAATAAAAAAATGATGGATGATTAGGTATGGGAAGACTAATCAAGGAAGAAAAGCCTTAATTAATGTTAACGGAAGGATGGGGAGCCTATTCAGCGCTAATGGAAGGGTGTGGGGAGCGTCTGGGGTCGGGAGAGGGAGGGGGCCAAACAAAAAAAAAGAAACACTTTGTTTTTTTCGGCTCACTTCCCTTCCTCTCCTAACCCCAGAGGCTCGCCCTTCCACCCCGTAAGCCCCCCGCCCTTCCACCCCATTTGAATAGAGCTTCGCTTTTCGTAATCCTGCCATACTTACTTGTCTATTACAATTCAAGAGCAAATAATTAGAATTTAGTGCGCACTCGCAAACGTTAAAAACTGGGGCCAACAGGGCGATGCTTTCTGTAACTACACACGTAGAGTCAGATGCGTTGAGAAAATCGCACGGCAATTTATCTAGAGAAAAAGGGTTCGCTGCCCGTGCCACGGGTTAATGGTAGCATCCGTGTGCGTCGCTGTTGTAAAGACGGAGAGCGCTTCTTGTCACTACAACCGGCAGACCCGCAACCAGTACAAGGTTCATCATAGACTTTTGAACATACAAAACTTGCGTGCTCTGCCATAGCACAAACCTTCCTCGACATGCTTCTTACAAACATTCTAGAACGCTCGTCGAAGCTGAAAAACATACTTTTGAACATCCTAATAGAACTCTGTTTCAAAATTGTGGTCACGCAATTTATATATATGGTCTAAAATAATGACATATTCCACCACTTTCCATATGTTGCTCGACACTGCGATGCTTGTCACCCCGAATTTTCTGGCAATATTACATAGCTTGTCTTTCCTTTTCCATTCCTGGGCTTGCCACCGTTTGCATTCAACTTGCCCTTTCTGCATTCAACGTTTTGTTGCGCATTTACATCTGATTGTTGTGCCTTGTCGAGAATACAAGCCAAGCTATTGAACATTGTTTGGAATGTCGCAAAACAAGGGGTTGCCAGAGCTTTTTATGATTTCAACACGGCCACAGACTTGACGCGTATGTTCTATTTTGGGATGCTTCCGGCCCCATGCAGAACGGTACCACGGGTGCAGCGCACCAGTCCGCCACCTGTTGGCGTAACGCCTGGCAAATGGCACCTTGGAAGGCTGTGACATGTATTATGGGACTGTGGTGTGCCGCGTTCGGGGCGGTCACGACAGTTGAACGTAACTTTTTTTGGGCAGGACACTATGCCGAGGACAACTTGCAGGCGCGTTGTGGAGTCACATACATGTGTCACAAGAACGGCATACATTCAGGTCAGCATGGTGGGCTTGTCTGCAGGCGTTCAAGCGGCTTCAGCTGTTGCGATTGCTTCACGTCGTTTCTTCAGTTTCCGGAAGCGTGGCAGGTGAGTTTGGAACGATGACTGTGCAAGTTTGCAAGTGCCAGACATCACATGAAGCGTTTGAGCTCGTGATCATGCCAGGCGTCACTTTGCCAGCCATTTTGACGGCTTCCCAACACGTCTGGACTATGGTTTGTATTTCTTCGGCCCTTCTGGTGCTTGCGAGAGATACATTGAAGGTGAGGAGAATGCATACTTCTCGAGCAACAATGATACACTGGTATATGTGCATGGTTGGGAGGTCGATCGAATCCCTCAAGTCTACCGTGAAACCTTCAACTGGAAGGAAAACGAGCCCCGATGTGGTTTGGACGTGGACCTGGCAGTCCCATGGTTGGACAAAGGCTGGAACGTGGGCATCTTTTATTGGGAGACTTGGTCATTGAAACACACGCCATTTGCAGCTTCGGCTTTTCAATGTGCTGCATTGGTCAGCTTTAGCATGGTTAATAACAACGACAACGTTTGGTACACAATTAGCCTTGCAGCCCACGTTGTTTGGGACTGTTGAGGACATGTTCTCTGACGAGCCTTGGTTGCCAGATGCTGAAGCCAAAATTTGGACGCCCCATGGCCCAAGGTGGGTATCTAAGCCAGCACTGCTCAGCACGGTCTGTTTGCGCACCATGCAGGAGGATGCGATATCGCCTTGAATCTGGAAAGTTTCAGGCCCGTTGTGAAAGAGCCTGATCACTGTGGGCAGCATATTTCTGTTGCCAAACTGTGCAGGATGCAGGCTCACCAGAGTTCTCTGCTTCAACTCTCTTGGGCAAGACTTTGGCATCACTGGTGGCAGTCGCGCCGAACAAACATTTGCGTGTAGCAGGTCATTCGCTGGGGTAACGGGCTCAAAGATGAGCAGCGACTCATTTCATAGTGATTGTCAACGTCATGCGTCCGTTCTTGCAGGTCACCACTTACCATTGCTGGAGCCTACAAGTTGTTTGACATGTGCGAAGTGACCCGCGGGACAGTGCGATGCTTTGAATACCCATCATGCATCTGTTGCTTTTTGTTGGCACCCCAAGGGTTCCTTTATTACGTGATGGGTGTAGCCACAGGCAGTAGATGTGCATTAGATATCGACAACCAATAAGCTGCACATGTTTGGTGTTGACTGGCCCAGGACTTGCGCTGCTTGACCCGTACTGGTCACGCAGAACACCCATACTGAACCGACAGGGCTATCTTGATTTGGTGGACGATATGTCAATGATCCAGGGACAGCACTGAGGTTCATGTGCATGCTGTTCACGCGAGACAGCTTGCATGCCAAACAGTCATGACATCAAGACCCTAGGATGAGTACAAACAAGGAAGCCAGTTGGCAAAACTACAGCCGAGCTCAGCCTGGCTTTGGCCTTGGACTTGGCAAGGAAGCAAGTGCTGTCTCCAGGCAAGATGCTGGTCTGGGCATACTGGGTTGCAAACTCTGCCCATATAACGTTTGGCAGCGTTTCTAGCCGGGAGTGCCGTCACAGTACAACTGTGTGAACACTTTCCGAACTCATTTCCGGTCACCACTCAAATGACTCCTTTTGCTTTGAGTTGAGATCATGGTCGTGAAGCGCTGTCATGCTTTATAGACATGATTGCTGCCGAACCCTGCTCCTGTGTCGGGGTTCAGATGTGAGATAGCCTTCCCTGCCACGGGCTTGCCAAGGTTTGAGATTTATTATTCTTGTCCGGCCATGACACAAATGCCAATCGTGGCAGACAACAGCCCAGCAGAAGAATTGGTGCGCCGCAAACGTGCTGCACTGGTGCAGTACGATGCATCCTGCTGCGTCCTCTGGGACCTCCAGGCAACAACCTTTCCTTGTGCGGCACGCCCAGCAGCTCAAGTGCATTCTCTGCCTAGAATTTGTTGTGGTGTATCCAGGCACAGCACCTACTTGCTCCAAACCTTTACCTGCACAGCATGCGTTACCCTCATCCAGGCCTGGAGTTCTTTTGCCATGGTTTTCTTCGCTCCAGCTGTTTGCTAAATGATCATTGCTCGCTACACCATAAAATTGCTCATGCTACCCGTGCAGCTTTTCTTATGCAAAAACATGAAAAGTGTGAAGAATACCTTGAAGGCTACGGGGCGCCCGCAGCAAGCGCTCCTGATGACGCTCTAGCCAGAGCATGCGGTCAGCGCTGGCAAAGCCCAGGCTTGACGTAATGCCTGTAATACGGAAAAAGGCTGAGAGGGGCCATGACACCTTTGTGGTCCAACATGGCGGCTTGATATTAGCCGCTGGCTCCAAACGAACGTGATGACACAGGCGCACTTGCAGGAAAGGCCTGAAACTGAAGCAGCTGTCCATCGCAGAGCATATCCATGTGTTTAAACGAAGCTTGTGGCAGGAGGGCCAACATACTTGAATCCGATATATCCGACAAGTGCCGGGGCCACATCTGGGCAAGGTATCTTGGATTGAGGAAATTTTGCACCACCTGATGTAACCTTGTGGCCCAATAGTCACAGCAATTTGGGCATCGTAAGTTTGCAGGATTTCCTCCATCCAGTGTAGTAATGTTAAAAGGCCCAAAATGGCTCAGATTGTCTGCCATCTTCTGCTTACTGGGTGTCTTGCCAGTCGTGTGGCCACCAGAGATTGAAGAGCTTGCTGCGCCACTGTCTTCTGGACCATTTGTTTGGGCCTTCGCAGCTGGCCACGTCCGATCATCAGCGGCATTGCAGGTTCGTGTGGGGCCTTCCGTGCTGGCAGGGGACCTCTCCAACCTGGCATTTGAGACACACCGAGTCCTCCGAGCAGGGGCAGATTATGTGCATCTGGATATGTTTGATGGAAACTGGATTCAAGGAGCCTTCACTTTCGGCCCCATGGTAGTAAAGGCACTGCGTGATCATGAGCCTCGAGCTTACTTCGATGTGCATCTTTGCGTCACCCGTCCTGAGCAGTACCTGGAAGAGATGGCCAGAGCAGGAGTAAGCCGGGTTACTTTCCACTTTGAGGCGGTCACCGACCCCCGCGAAGCCGCAGAGCACGCGCACGGGCTGGGCCTTGATGTGGGGCTGGCACTGGCACCGGAGACCGCCGTGGACACGACCGTGCTCAACGTCGCCGAGCTCTTCGATGTGGTTCTGGTGATGACCGTGCCACCCGGCTTTGGTGGCCAGGCCTTTATGCCGGAGATGCTTCCCAAGCTGAAACGGCTACGTGAGGTTTTTCCCAAAAAGGCCCTGGAAGTGGATGGGGGGGTCACGCCCCTTACGGCTGCTCTAGCGGCATCTGCGGGCGCCAACGAGGCCGTGGCTGGTTCTTCGGTGTTTCGCTCCAGAAATGTGCGACGAGCCATCAGGCCTGAGTTGGGTGATTGAAGATCAATTTGTGCCCGGCATGACTTCAGTTTGGCCCCTACAGCAAGCCTAGACCCAAAGCTTCGGCACTTTCACTCTGCCCTGCAGGGAGCTTCGCCGCGGCCTGGAGAAGGGTCAGAAAGAACAGAGTTGACGGCCCATCCAAACTGGTGCTGTCGGCATGCGCTTGCTTTGGTTTTGCCCCTGCATTCCAGATGGCCTTCTGTCACGGTTGCTTCTGTTGACTGCTGTGTGAACTGAACAAGAAGTCTTGATCAATGCCTAGTTCTCATTCAGCGTGAATCTAGATGAGCAGCAAAGTGTCAAAGGCCGGGTAGAAAACTCCAACTCACAAAGCCGAGCTCGCAACAGCAAGTCTGTCATGGAATGTCTATGAACTTTTCAGAAGACCAAGATCTGTGCATGACTTATCTATGGCGCTGCTGATTCGGTGCGAGTCAAAGTCACTTATGCAAGTTGTGTGGACCTTGCGCTTGGCTCTTTGTTCAGTGAAGTTCGAGGCAGCTGGGCTGTCATGCATCGGCATGCGGCCCAGCGCATCTGAATCGTGTGCTTTGCTGAAGCTTTCGTATGCTTTCGTGATGCGGCGAATGTTGGGTCCCAGGGTTGCGCCTGCCGTGAACTTCTGGCTTTTTTTTGCTCCGCTCGCCCGGACCTTGGAAAAAAAGAGCCAGCCAGTGACGCATCCTTGGAAGCAGAAGCCAGCGGCTCGGCAGCGCGCTTCCAGGTCGAGGCCGCATACTTCCCAGTCACGCCAGAGTCTCAAGCAAACGCCTTGGCTCTACATGTCGAGCTTTGCAAGCTAGAAAGGTACAATGCAGAAGAGACATGGCAGAGGCCTCTTATGCAGCAAGGGCCTCTTGTGCTGGCACGAGGGAAACCCTCCTTGCCTCTTTCGCTCTGTTAAGGCCATGGGATCCTCTTCGAGCACTGAGGCTCGGGGTGCATGTTCGTGTAACAAGTGGCAGTTTTTGCAGTGAAAGGGGAAGCATCATGGTGACCTGGACACCTGGTGCTAGCAGCTCAGTGTCCCGAAGCCGTTAGTCCAAGTTCTCCTTCAAGTTTGTTTGGCTTGGTCTTCTTGCCAGTGGAATCCGTGGTGCTCCGTTGATCGCTATGAGCTGCAGGCACGGGCAGAAAGTATTTGCTCCATGTTCTCATTTGTTTAAACACACACTCCGAACGACAATAGGCCCGCCGGCCCAGGGGGCCCCCGATGCGCTTCGCTGACATGGAGTCCCTGAGGTGTCCTGACAAGTAGCTGGTAGCTGCGCAAGAAACGTTACATCCGCAGAAAGCTTTTCCTGCAGGTACCGGGAAACGGATATAGATGCTCAGGAGGTGGGAACGCAGAATGCAGCCCTGACATGTCAGAGGCCTTTGACCAGGTAGAGACTTGGCCGGGAGATGGCGAATGGGAGCCCTGGATGACGCAGTACGTGGGAGTAGGCCATGCGTGTCTGTGCCTGTGGCCAAGACGCAGAGTGTGACCACGTTTCAGCCTGTATCGACAAAAGCATCTTGGCAGGCCGAGCTTATACTCTTCAAGTGCCACCTGAGACCGCCCATGCAGTGCAGGACTGAGCTTAAAACATACACCAATGTGCAGGTTGAAGATTCCAAGATGCAAGCAATCTGAAGCAAAGGCTCAGTTTCGCGTCCGTGCCTGCGGACGGGCAGAGAGCCCGTGCCCTTTCCATGCCATCGAATGGTACAGCCTGTCAAGCATGATGCAGTTTTTTAGGCCTGGCTGGTCCCGGACCAGTAAGTGTGGGCTGCAGTGCTTGGAGCCCCGTGCAGACTGCGTGCCTCTCCAGCCACAGAGGAAAGTGCGGTCCATCGGCTGTGGGCGGGAGGTACACGCTTGTGAGCGCTGTCCAGGACAAGGTGAATCTGATGGTGCGAGGCATGGGAATGAGCCACCCTGAGATCAATCTAGCCCCAGGAAGGGTCCAGCCCAAGCCCGTCCTTTGTGAAGCAACCTGCCAAGGAATGCCCCTGATTATGCACACATAGAGGCTCGGAATCCTTTGATAGGTGCATGCGCTTGCAATACTTGATTTTGGATTTCATCCTTTCCCGAAAAGGTCGACCAAAGGGTGATTTACAGGCTGCGTTCTTGGCGACAGCTGTGAAGGTCATCTTCCACCAGTCATTAGAGAGAATTCTTATAGAGTTTAAGCAGCAAACGCTTGATGGCGTCAAGAAACCAAGGCGTCGTGACGAGACAGGATTGGTACTCGCAATCTTTCGGCGCTTGGACTTCTCGCTGCAATGGCTCCGGACGTTATGCTGAGTTGTTGCAGCTGCAGCTTTCAGTGTTTTTTTTGCATGTTTTTGCTGATGCATATGCTTCTCCTCGCAGGACTTATGACACGCATCGGAATCGCACGGAGGTGCAGTACATTTGCTGGGCATAGGAGTTGCTTCTATGTACCTCTTACCGCCAGTGCAGGCGCTACAAATGGCGGAAAAAATCCGGCAGTACAATGCCAGCTTCTTTGCGAGCGCCTCGGGAGCTGCATGCTTTCACTATGGTTTGACACTGAATGAGCAATAGCCCTACAGATCCTCAACATCGCTGGCATTTTTTGTACCGTTGGTGTTCAGCAGCAAAGTCCCAACATCTGAGCCCCCCTTTTCCGGGGAGTCTTTTTCCAGCAAGGACATAGCTGGTAGTCAAAATTCGGGCTTGCAAAAGGCATAGACACTCATTTTGCGACTGACTGGCAGCCAGCCGAAGATGTTTGTAGCAAACCCCCCTTCAATCACCTTCCGTGGAGGCATTTTCTGGGTCTCGTATCTTTGGTTTGGCGATTGTCAACGACAGCAGGCCGTGACCAGCTAGGTCATGTGCAATGAGAAGTGCGCTGAAGGTGGTCGTTGCCTCTTCCATTGCCTGGGAGTGGCAAGCCCCAAGAACGTGCAGCTCCTGGTGCCGTGCAACACAGCTGGCTCTGAGCTGCTTCATTCTGTGGTGTGTGAGGTTGGTTCAGACAATGGAGTTCTGTGGAGCATACCATTTCGGGCCTTTGGCTCATAAAAGTCGGTCACCAGCACGGCCTTATGCCTTGTCCTGCCAATGACCCTTCAGGCAATGGGCAAACACCTTTGCGGAACAGGCCTGACTGCAAAACTGTTTGCTCATGTCTTGATGTATAACGACAAACTAAACCCCCCCCGAGGTCCGCTACCGCTCGAACACCTCAGACCTGCAGCAGACAGCGTTTCTTGGCGTTGTTGGCTGATAACGCAGTGGGTCGGATTGCTCCGTTATTTGCTCCAGAGGTCTCAGGAACAGTTCGGGCATCCATATGCATTTGCTCGCACCTCACACCACGTTGAGACTTAGCGTGCATTTTCTTGTCTTTCATGGCCCCGTGCGTGTAGATTGGAATCCCGGGCATTGGCACTGCCATGGGCTGGGAGTCGCTGACTCAGGGTTCCAATCTAGTCACTTGCTGCCAGGGATAGGTCAAACACCACAGAAGGTCTTTGATGTACAACACGGGACACTACCTGGCGAGATCTGTGAAACCTCAGCAGGCACGATTGTCGGCAACCTGTTTTTATCATTCGCTGCTCGTTTGTTGCTGATCTTTGTTGCATGAGCCGCTGGGAGGCCATCATCCGAGGCGTCGCGTATTACGACTACGTGGTGCGAACCAGCGGTTTGTTCATTCCGGAACTGAAAGAAACTTGTCCAACGAAAGCTGAGGCACGTCTTTATCGCCTGCAGGACATTTCTGCGACGAAGGCGTGCGTGCCCGTGTTTTGCAATGCTCGGTAGTCTGTCTCATTTGTAGTCACTCAACTATGTATTTCGCACGATTGGTCTCTACCTTGACGCATCCTTCACGGAACGACCTCACTTGAGAGATGTTGCATGATGCGTTTACATTTGTTCTGAGGCGCTCTTCTTCTTGAAAGGCCAGCCGCCGCTGCCTGAAACTCTCCACAACCCAGACCCACGCTCAGTGACTTCAGATTTACAAGACTGGTGCTCATAAGCGCTTCTCTGAGTTTTTCTGCCTGGCGCGTCGCTCAGGTTCCGCGGCGCAAGATTCCTGCGCTGGGATCTCAAAGAGAGCCTTAGCAAATGAGATGAGGATTGTTTATCTGAAAGCATGCTAGCGAAGGCTTGATTTCTTTGCCTTGGTGTCGATGACTCCTGCTTACACACCGTACGTCAAGTCCCCGGATTTATCAGTCTTGTTTATGGCAATGCAGCTTGTGGTGTAAGCTTGCACAAATTACTTTCCCGCAGATTGGGACCCTGCGGGAGCATATCACGAAGGTGCTCGAGGACTGCATGTGACATGTGTCTAGGAAGGATTTTTCATTGAGTCTTAAATCACCATTGCTTAGCTCCCTTCACAAGCCTCACTACAGGCAAATGGTACTGTCATTCCGTACAACTTTGCGTTCTACCTCAAGACAGATGCCAATGTCATAAAGGCAAAGCGGCTGCCCTATGCCAGATAAAAAACAACAGATCAGAGTCGAAGGTGGACCCTCGCCCTCGCAGCTGGTGGCTCACTGAACTCGAACGTGTCTGGGGCGGGCCGAGTGCTTAATTCAATGTGTCTTGCTGAGTTTAACTTGAACTAGAATTTCACCTTCTGATCCACCCAGGGCAAGCATGCGCAACTTCCAGCACAATGGCACTATTCTTCATCAGGGCCACGACTTCGCGGACAGGCCCGGGTCTGCGTTTGGTGGAAGTTTCTGTTGGCCTTGGAGGTGTGTGGTAGGATGTATAAGTATGCAACAAGACATAATAAGTGCATTCTTGCATTCGCTCCTGCTCTTTTTTTCCACAGGATGCGCATGCATTTCAGGAGTTGTCCGAGTTTCGTCAAGCACACGCACCTGTTTGCGGATCCCTTGTCCTGCGGTCAAAACTACCAGGACCTCGAGCCGAAACCTTTTGTTTCCTGTCTTAGCACTTTCTGATTTTCTAGTATCTGCTGACATCATGTATCTCTCTCACGCTTCATCCTCATGATGCCCATGCCAGGACTGCTGTGACCGCATTGATGTGCCGGACTTCCCTGTGACTGAGTCCAGAGCTTGGATAGGGAGCAGACATGCAAGCAGCAAAGAGGCTCCTGCATGCTTTTGCTAGGTGCGGTATTGGAGTCTCGCCCACCTTATGTCAAAATACAGACTCCATCGAGGCAATCGCAGCAAAGCTGGCTTTGTTGTCCATGTTGTTGGTTAGTGTTCGTCCAGCGGCGCTGATGCCAGCATGACCCAGGTCTTCTGCCTGGAAACCAACAGGCAGGCTTACGATTTAATGTTGGTCGGCTTCCATGGGCTGGACGCATCTGTCACTGAAAAGAGCCTGTGGCATGCCAGGACCACATCATACAAGTGGCCTTGTGATTTCCGCATCATGAACTGGACTGCCTGAGTGCACCGGTTTACCTGTGGATGGGGTGATGCAAGTTATTGTTGAAGCTACTTGGTAAATGCCTCTTAGCTTGTTGGTTGATCATCTGTCCACAACCCAGATCCTCAAGGGATTTGCTTGTAAATGACGGCTTGTGAGCCATTGGGTGGCACCACTGTGACTGCAGATGGCCTGCCATCATTGTACATAAAGTTGCATCAGTGCGTAGCTGATGTGCCCGCATATTAGCGCTGAAGATAAAGCATTGGTATCCCTTGCACTCTGCATTGCTTTGATTCTGCATCCCCATCGAGGCCTGTCCTCTTAGCTTGCCAAGTCAAGCTCTGTATGTTCATGGCTTGGTTGAATCGAGTGAACAATCCTTCCGCACACTTGCCAGCCAGCCGCTTTTTAACAAGCACGAAACATGAATCATTTGCCCTGCCCATCATGAGCAAGCTAGATTCAGCTCATCGATTCACATGTGACAGAGCTTCCCACCATGGCGGGCGATGCCATGGCGCCTAGTGTAGATGGTGGCCATCTTGGCATCTTTTTTCCATGCGTCAATTTGCCACTGTGATGAGACTGGCAGGTGACAGCCCGGGACAGCTTCCTGACATCACTGACCAGGCTGGACCTGCCGAGTGCAGCAGTAGGAGAGAGAGCCTGACCAAACTACTAGGTGAAAGGCTAGAGCAGACTCCAGCGCTCCAAGTTCCCGTATCAAGATCTAATCCCAGTGCCACGCGAAATGCGGCACAGACTCCTTGAGGCTGGCCATGCACTTGGTAGACTAATGATTTGAAAAGAAGGTCGAGCTCAAACAGAACGCCTGATTTCCAGTAAGAAATCAGCAGCGGATCTCCACAGCGAACAGATCCTACTTAGAAGTGTCACATAGTCTGCAGGACCGCTTACTCACAGTACTCCTGAGCTTTCAGGGACAAGGCGAACAATCCAGATCGGACGCTGCCATCTTCCCGCGCTTCACTGCAAGACACCCGTGCTTCTGCAAGTCCAGAAAGCATATCGTTGGACGCGTTAAGCTCGAAATCCACAAATGCCAGTCTTGGTGGTTGTAACAGTTGTGACAAGCGAGAAGAGCTCCATTGGTGCATGTGGCACTGTCACCAAACCCCTCACACAACCAAACTTAAGGAAACACTGCGCAAGGAGGCAGCAAAGGCTGGTTGAGACCGGGCCGGCCAGATGCTCGCACGCTATGGCAATGAGACACCATGGCATGCCGTTGCTTTTGTAGAAGCTTCACACAAATCGCCACCGGTTGCGCATGGAGTGTAGCCGCCACCTGCAAACACATGTGCGCATTGTCCTGCTGTCAGTCAGAGGCCAGGCCACAGCAAACCATCAGGGGCTGGGCTGATACTCATGCACTGATTGCAAGAAGCCAGGTTCCAAACAAGAGCCCAGAGAACAAATCCGTGATAGAAAGCTTGTGGCTGCAGCGAGCATGTCTGTAAACTTTCGGCTCCACGAAAGGCTGACTATCCTGCCAGTTTGGGTTGACGCAACGGCGCACAGACGGTCTGATTTTCCTGGCAGAGGTGCAATCATCATCCAGCTGCTGCCTGTGAACATCAATCGCGCGGGAAACACGTGCCTAGCTGGCTGGACAAGGTCGAGCGGTGCTTAAACAACGAAAACGAGCCACAGAGCGAGGGCAATCCTTAGGGGCGGCCCAACATGGGGGTGGGGAAGTCCCACGGGTAGGCCAGCCTGCCCCGACCGAAAGAAAGACAGAAACAAAGTTGTAGCCTTTATGGTGCAAGTGCCCTACACCGAGAACTGCGAACTCATTGACCTCGCAGACTCAGAAGGGCGATTGTGCCACGGAGATTACTTCCACTACCTGTTTGAAATCTGGGCAATCTCATTGTGGATAAGACTGCAACATCTCTCTCCGGCTCTTGGTTGAAGATCTTGCCACCCAGTTCTTCCACCGCGGCTTGCCGCTAGAGAGCCCTGACCTGTGCTTGGACGGCTGAGACACGGAAAAACACAGCCTGCCTTCTGGAAGTTAGCGCATTAGGAAAGTTCACAAAGAAGGGCATTCACAAGCATGGGCAGTAGGGATCATGGGTAGCATAAGGGTAACAAAAGGAGGTGGCCAAAAATCCAAAGTCTCCACCATATGTTTTAAGTACGCAGTCCTTGCAGAATGTAGCTTCAATTCAGCATAATGCGGTGCAAGCTCGGATTATCTACTCCCAAGATATCTTGAGCCATCCTGGTGGGACTGGCGTGAATATGTTCATGCCAGTCTGCATGCTGTCACCTGCACATGTCCACATGGTGGGTGTCCCCAAGATAAACCAACAATTCCTTGATCTCGGTGCTCTCTGAGTGGTAAGTGCGCAGTTTTAGACATTGCATCTTGGTGCCATGTTCAGACCAGGGCCATGGCAGAGTGCCTGGTCACAGCAGTACTGAGTTGGAGCAGACCAGAAATGCCTGACTGCTTCCTGAGATGAAGACAAGTAGACGGAGGGAAGGATAACTCAGCGATGATTGAAGCCGCCAATTTGAAGCCACCACTTTCACATGACATTGGCATCGAATGTGGATTGGAACCGAAAAACAGCTTGTGTCCAGGTCGCAGAGAGGCTATTTCGAAGCCTCGAGATCATGGAGGCAACGACTGGCGACTGCATGCCGATGCCCGACGAAACGTTTCACACATGTCTCAGCAGGCAGATTATCAGAGAACACTGGCCGCAGAACGAACAGTTCCGCAGCCGTCGGCAGCCAAGTTCGAAATGGACGGCCTCCGTCAGGACCATTTGGTTTTAACCGATGTTTGCGCGGAAGGCCTGTCCTCTTTTTGCAGCTCAGGCTTCAGCCGTCTGGTGTCCTCCGTGAGACAAGTGACACGGAGTGCATGGGATAGAGGATCATCCCAGTGCAAGCATGCCGTTGAATGGTGCCGGCAGGACGAGGAAGATGCCAGTGGTGAGGAACATGGCTATGCCGCACTGGGCTCTGATGCAGGCTGCTAGATGCAGAGAACATGCTTTCAAGCCCTTCCTAATTTAATGTCACAAAAGTACGCTGTCAAAGGAAGCGATGACGAGGACAGGTTCTGAAGCGCTCCGCAAGAGTGTTTCGTTGTGCTGGCTGCGAAAGTCAGACTCTCCGATTGCATGTATACTTCATCTGGCAAGCGTATCGCACAGGCAGGCATCGAAAATGGTCGGCATCCTGCCACAGTCGAAGGCAGCTAGAGATGCCAAAGGGAGTTGATGCTTGCTACTTTCCCCTGTAAGATGATTGGGGCGGCTTTCAAAGCGGAGCCGCCGAGGCACCAAACTCACTTTGGATCTTTCTCCTGTTCATAGAGCTGGTGAGACTGAGAGCCGAGAGCAGGTTGCCAAACCTCCTTTCCGAGCGTGGCAAGAAGGCCGGCTGGCTGTTTGTGAGGAATCTGCAAAAGGTACGCCTGGAGTAGTTCCTGATCACGTCGTGGCTTTGAGAGGAGAAGAGAAATGCAGCGAGGAGGCCGCAACCTGAGCGCCAGCCATGTTTTCATTCAGTGGCGTCGTGCCGAAGAGCGATCATCATTGTTGATCACTAGTATTATCACCACTAGCATCCAGCCGACGAATGGCACTCTGAGCTGCGGTTGCTAGACATTGGATGTATTGCTGTGAACGACCCTGGCTGTGATTTTTGAATGGGATGCAACCCTCTCAGTCGATTGAACCACTGCTACCCTTTTGCGATGATTAGGCGTGCTTGTCTTCTTGCTTCTGTTTCTATCTTCAGACCCCACCTCAAGTGTGTCCTGTTGTCACCTCTGCTTTCTGCTCATTCAGTTCCTGGAGCTGGGCAAGTCATGACTCGTCCCGCTTGCAGACAATCCACTTTGCAGCTCATGTGACACCTTACATGATTCGATGAAGTGGCGACGTTTTCGCCTGAATGTCTATTAACCCTCCCCACAGCGTTGTTTTTTTCTCTCCACGCTGTGCTTGAATATTATCAAATACGCGTCAAGGATGCGGATTGGGTCCTCGAGGTAGCTGTGAAGGGTAGATTTGCAAAATACTGAGTGACCATTTCAGAAATGCAGTGTTTTTTTTTCTTTTCTCCGAGCGCTTTTGCGACTTTTCGGCGTGCTTGTGCAGATATGGATTTGGGCCCTTCTGCATTTTTACAGGTTTCTGAGGACTTGCCGTAGTTTCTTTGGATGAGGGGAATGTGACGGGTTGCTATGGTGCCACTCTGGTAGAGAGCTTCGTTGCGTAGATGGCTATTGATTTAGATTTTTGTCGTCAGAGTCGTTGCTGTTGATGAGCACTGCAACTTATTGCTTTATATTCCTGCAGTGGGGTGGCTGCAGAGAGCTTGTGTCAGCTTAGTCGCGGGTCATTTGGTCACAGTTCAGGGAGGAAAGGGTTGCATCGGTTTTTGTTTTCCATGTCCCTCAATGAGCTCCCAAGATCCTGGAGAACTTCGCCAACTTTGGATCTTCAAATCCTGCTTCCGACCAAGAGCAGTGGAGCTTCAGCGTTCTTCATTTTGTTATGAGCTGCCTTCCTGGTCAAGGCTCTTCCAGCTCCCCCAGCTGAGCTGCGGCCAATGCAGGCAGCTTTGGCAAGCTCAGCAAGTAGCAGTTTCCTTGCAAGCCTTCTTGAAATACTTCAGGGCGTCTTCCAGCTTGTAAGAAACTGTGTGAGTGGAGCATGGCCAGGCCACCTTGCTCACCGAGGATGAGGTCAAGGTCATAAAGGAGACCATGAAGCAGGCAGACAGCAGGGCAGTCTGCGGTAGTCTGACCGGCTATGTGCCATGCTGCCACGCCCCAGATCTGCCCACCGCCTCCGCCATGGGCTTCAAAGCTGCAACTTGGCCTCGTTTTGATGCAGGAGATCGCTGTGCTGCGACGTGTTTTCCCGTTTTAGGTCAGATGAAGCGTTCCAGCGCATGATCAAGGACCAGAAGTCGTAGTTTGGCAGGAACAGAACGATGCCAAGTACTTGCTTTGGAAGGAGTCCTTTTGTGCCTAGTGTGCACGCGGCGCGGCGTGACGCTGGCCTAGACCAAAGTTCTGGTGCAGAGACAGGACGGTGTCTGAGATTCAAGCCAATCAAATTGAGAGCATCCAAGCTGGTGCTCAACTTCCACCTGCCACATGCAGCGACCGCGCAGACCTGATCCACGATCAAGATGTTGCTGCTCTTTCCTTTCTGTCGTACTTCGCTGCAAGTGTTGGGCAGTTTCAGCTTGGTTGCTTCGGATCGCATGCTTGATGTTGCATGTGTGATCATTTTGGGCTGCAGAATCGCAGAACGAGACAAACACCCATGCGTTTGGCATGCCTTCTCCCATTTCCAAGAGACACAAACACGGTCAGGTAGTAGAACATTTGGTCCAGTTTGGTGTGATAGAAAGCAGCAATGCCGTCGCCGAAGCCCAATAATGGTTCTGCACTTTCGTGTTACATTGCAATCTATTGACTGTGGGTTCAGGTGACAGTTCAGGATTAGCCTCCCTGCCAGGCTTTGAGCGGCTGCTGAATACCCAGCTGGAAGCCGTGCGGTCCAGCCTCCTCCAACAGCATAACACAGAGATCGATGAATTGCGGAAGACCGTTCTGCAATTGCGGAAACAGGTCTACTACAATGATACCGACCGACCAGAGTCACCGAATCTCGCATGGTACCATCTGATCAGTTGAACCAAGTTTTGCAGTCAGACGACTAAAGTGGGTGGCAGACCATGCTGACTGAGGGAGTCCTGTGACGCACCCGATGGCACTTACATGCGCTGGGCAGACTTCGCCGCGAGGCTGCTGGAAGAGTCAGAGAAGGACTCTTGGTTGAACTCATTCTTGCCACATAGATGGGCACACGGCATGTGGCTTCCGAAAACCGGCGACAGGATGTGCCAGGTGAGGATGACGCGGAGGAAGCTGAGAGGGCAGACCTTGACTCTGCTTTGCGTTTGCGCCCTGTGTGGTCTTCCAGCTCCTGGAAACAAGTTGCGAGCCTTGGAGAAACGAGATAAGCCCACCGCTGGCCACCGCTTGCCGCCAGGAAGCTGTATTGAAGTATTGGTTAGCTGAGGAAGAACCGACGCGGATACCGTCTGTCAGACCGGCACTCCCTGCCGCAAGCTCGGATGAGCGATGATCTGACAGACAACTCTTGTTGGCAGGGATTAGTTTTGAGACCGCGCAGCCAGTTTCAGCTGACATGGTCCCTCATGGGCACGCTGCTTATTCTCTGGGATCTCATCACCATTCCGCTGGAGCTTTTCAACATCCCAAACTCTGCGGACTTCTTCAGCACGACCTCCAGGCAAGAGCTTCTGAGATTCATTCAGCTGCACGTTCCTGGAGTATGAAGCCGGCAGGATAACGCTGGTCTTCTGGGTCCTGGATATGCCGCTGAATGTCTGCTTCGGAGTGGAGCGAGGGGGACGTGTCGAGCTGCGACCAGTGGAGCTCTTGAAGATCTATTTGCGCCTCTTAGCGTAGAATGCAAAGATTCAAGAATTATTTGTCTGTTCAAGTGTAGTTTGCATATGCGACTTTCAATTGATGTGAGGCTCGTGGTTCGTGTTGGACGTGCTTGTCATTTCCTTAGACGTTCTGCTCATAGTTGTGGAGCTTGTGTCAGCGACCGAGAGCGATGCGGGCCTCAGGCAAAGGGCAATATCCGGTCCAAAAAAATCTCTTGAGAAGACCTCTAATGAATGAGTTGAGTATTGTTTTGTTGGAGATCCTATTGTGCCAACATAGAGCAAGATTATGTTCTCCTCTTGGTTGTGGTTTTGTCATGGGAGGAATTTAACACCCTTCAGGTGAGCCACCAAATTCGCTACTCGAATGTGTCAAATCAACAGTTGTTTCTCATGCAAGGTTTCGCCTCAAAGGCCCTTTTGACTAAAGAAGCTTTGCGTGCCGTGGTTCGGATTGGTCTACTGAAGCCTGCCTCCAGATCAGCTCGCTTCCTCCGCACTATGCGACTGCTTCGACTCTTGCGACTACTCCGTGCAGTCAAGTTGCAACAGGCCTGTAAACCATGTGCGTTGGTTACTCTCTTGTTATCAAGATTTGCCTCTCGCGTTTGAACCAATTGTTCTGATGAGGAGCTTACACTGTTGGCCAATCGCTTCTTGTCTGCCCATGTGGCCCGGCAGCAGTTGTCTGCTTGCTCCTTTGCTCCTGGATCATTGCAAGTGCTGAAGGCATTCTAGGACAGATTTGGGATAATGACTCCCTGGCAACGTAGTGCAGACAACAACGGACGTGAGGTCTTCATGGTCGCAAAGGTCGTGTTCGGTCTCCTTATGCTTCTTGGAGTGTATTTCCGAACATTAATGACATGTCTGGCATGCAACTTCCCTAGATTTACCAGATTCTCAGGATGCTGGCTATAAATCACATCATTGCCTGCCTCTGGTATGGAATTGGATCCTGGACCGGATGTGTATCAGATCGACCAGTTGCATGCCCGTGCCACAAGCTTCCCCGCGTGTTTCTACTCTTGGAGGACCTCCCTGGATGGCAAAAGTTGGCTTGAGCAAGCGCAGCTGCTGGGTACCGAGGTGAGCTCTCCGTATGTGCAGTTTAGGATGTGTGCGGGTTATAGGGCAGTCAACACACGCGCCACACATGTCCTTGTGCAGGTTGGCTTCGCTGAGAGGTACGCCGTTTCTCGCTCTTTCTTCTGCAGAGGGCAACATCAATCAACAGCTGTAGCTCTGCATGGCTTTACAATTTTTTCTCTCCCATTTGCACGGCCCAGGTTTCTATCCACTGGACTCTTACTCAGTTCACGCCAGCTACTAACAATGTGGCTCCAGATAATGCTTTGGAGAGGCGGGTCTTGCAAAGAGATTTCCAGAGCAAAGTGTGAGCCTTGGAGGTTCTTTGCTGTCTGGGTCATCCTGCTGGCCATGGGTGTCTTCTCATCGTTTATTAGCTCGATTACTGCAACTGTGAGTCATTCGGAAGCAATGGTCTTTGCAATCCAAACGTGCTGCAAAAGGGAAGGACAGCCACTGAAGTGAAGGTAAACTGCAGAGCTCCCGTGTGGATCAGTTCCAGCAGCGGGCAAAGCTCTTGCGCTTCTTCGTGGAGCGTAACCTCTCTGCGGAGCGGATGCGCTGGGGAACACTTGTCATTGGTGTGGCGCCATGGTGTTGTTAAGAAGTCAAGGCTAAACTACTTTGAACAGGGTGACGAACTCGAAGTCCCTCCTTTTCCACACGTTTCATCTAGGTTTTGTGATTCGCGCAAAGCAGGACCTGTATGGCAAGGTCGAAGACGTCTTGCGGCAAGAAGGACGTTTCTGGGAAGTGCTGCAAAGTCATCGTGTGATTACTGGAGGTACGTTTGCCTTTACTGACACGTAAGAACAGTCAGGACTCTTTCAGGTCCGGATCAAGGAACGCGATGTCAAGATGGTGCAGGATATTCCTGAACGGCTCAAGATCCAGCTGCATGAGGAGCTGGTTCAACTGTCTTCTGCGAGCGTTTGCTTTCAACTCACCCTGCAGGAGATGTTCATGAGTCTTTTGGCCTGCCTTCCCTTCTGGCCAAAGAGGAGTGGCAACAGGGAGGGCTTCCTTCACCGCATGATTTGCCACCAGGTGCCTCCAGCTTCGTGCTCAGGCAGTGTTTTCCTTTTCCTTTCTTCTTTCTACTTTGAGAGGCCATGCGTGAGGGCTCCGTGGTGCCGGGTCAGGATGCCTTCATCTCAGGTGCTGAGGCGACGGAGGCCTCGGGGTTGTGATCAGACTTGTGGTGACCCCAAAAGGATTGCTGCCTTCATTGAAAGGGATCCGTTCGGCGCACATGCGCAACTTCACAAGGCGAAAGCAATAGTCTTGCAGTTTTGGGTTCTCCTGTAGCTGTTTTAACCGCCGGGTGAGTGATATCGGAGAACTTCTGACGACAAAAGCAGGACTAGTTAAACGAGGGTAGAAGGACAACGATGGAACACAAAAGCGGGAGGCAGAGGGAGGGGGGGCAGCGGCGGGAGACCTTCCGAAGAGAATGGCGGGGGGAATCTGGCAGGAGGAAACACTGCGGTCAGAGTCTCCATGAAGAGCAATATCTTAGAGGAGGATGTGCAGCGCTGGAAAGCGATATGTGAGAGCGAGCGATATCGGAGGGAGGAGTGGTGTGGTGGATCGTGAGGAAAGGCCAGTGGTAGAGAGCGATATAAGACGGGATTAGGGAGGAAGGGCACCAGTGGAGAGGAGCAGAGTCCCGGGGAGCGGGCCAAGGGATCCAAGGGCAGCGGTGGCGAGGAACATGTGGTGGATGCGCTGGCAGGGCAGCGGTAGCGAATGATATTGGGGACGCCTCGAGGACGGCGGTACACTAAGGCTGTTTCATCATTCGATTTTCATCTCCATTCGTACGTAATGCTTGGCCTCGCCCCGGGTTCCGCCCCCCTACCCGGGAAGTAAGCTCTGAGTTCTTGTCATCCGCCCGGCGAGTTCTCAGAGGCATGGGCACGGACGTGCTTCCCCAGTCCCGGCCTGTCCACACTGCAGGGTGGTGTGGCAACTGTGGTTTTCTGGGAGTTACCCAAAGGCAACACGGGAGAGGGATCCAAGTATCGGAGATGACCTGCGGTCCTGGGCAGGACGGGTCACGGATGTTACCACGTCTTGGATGGGGGGGCTGCCAACGTCTATGGAGAGCAGCCTCCATGCTGTACATATCAAGAGCTGCATGACTGCGCTTGAGGAAGGAAAAAGGAGCAGATCAACTTGCAGTAATCAAATGAAGCCAAGAAGCTGAAACTAGATAGCCAAGAAGCTGCAAGCTGAGACGATGCCAGAGGGTCCGCCCGCAATTTTTTAAAACCGGAATCTGCAACACAAAAGGGAAGCCAAGATCGTCAACCACTGTATTGTCGGAAGTCATGTTAAGTATTTCAAGCAAGGTTAACAGTCCGATTTTTCAGTGTGGCTGGGAGTGATGGTGTCTGTGCACTGGATGTGCAGATAACTTACTTGTGATCAGTGCTAGCTCCTGGATTCAGGGTGGGTTTCCTCCGTTTTTGAAGGGATTGTGTGATGAAGTACCTGCTTGCCCGCTGGCGATGGTGACGGGCTTTCAGGTAGGTCCTGGGTAGTACAGACATAGTTGTTCAAGGCTTGGTGCTACATTGGCAGGTCCTCATCGTCGAGTCTGGCATGATGAGCTATTTGTATTTGAACAATCAAAGGCATGAAGATACCGTTTCAGCTGAAGACATTGTGTGCTTACAATGCATCTTTGCAGAGTGGAAACATCGAGGGCGGCTGTTTGCGCACCACGGCTCCTGCTACTGGGTGGGCCTCAATGCTGTGAAGTTCTGCAGTCTGGTCACAGAGTATGGCGGCGCTGTGTGGCAACATTTGCATATCTTCGGAATTCTTCTTGTGGGGGCAATTGAAGATCGGCAATGGATGATCAATGACATCAACTGGGGCATGGTGGGTGTTGACGAATTGTGCGAGCGCACTGTCAAGTATGTTTCTAGGTTGCAGAAAGCCCACAACAGATCTCTGGTATGTTCTGGCACAGGTCTGATTGCATGTGAGCCCTGCATGCCTTCTAGACCGAGACTTGTTGCTGCCCTGTGTCATTTGTAGAAGGACTCCGTGAGCCAAGCCCCCTCAGGCAGACATCCTCAACGAAAATCATGGCACAACATCTGCAAGCTTAGCTTTGATTAAATCATATTCCATGGACTAGCCACAAATGTGGCAGTTCGTCTCACAAATCCAAACCTCTAGTGCAAGCGCATGCAAGCGCAGCCTGCTTAGTCTCTCGCTTAGACGTAGCCAAAAACAGCAGCTTGGGTTGCACACAAGTTTTCAAACGGTTGCCTTTTTCTCGTTTGCGTCCGGTCGGCTTCATAGCCTGCCTGTGCTAGAAGACTGCCTTTCCAGCCAGTTGCTTGCGGGAGCTGTGCGCATATGTAGTCTTCTAGTTGATTCTCATATGGAAGAGTGCCGACTACGTAGGACTAGAAGTATTCAATGGCTTGGTGTTGCTCGCTGTGCTCAAAGGCTCTGGCCACCAGGGCCAAACCTTGCTTCAGTTTCGTGTGTCTGTAGACTTTTCCATCCTTACGTAGCATTCCGGTCAATGTCAGATCCATGATCTACGCTTGGGCGCTGAGCCTTTGCTCCCTTGCGACTGGATCCAGTGAGATCGACGGAGCCACACGGTCTGAGGCTCCTTGGATTCGTTTTCTTGGCAAGTTGTAGTCCTAGGCCGCATGCGTAAGCTCCCTGCTAGCCTTCACGTGCGATGCTTTGCCAAGGTCAGCCTGGTGAGCTCGGAACCGCCGATCTTACTGGAACTGGGATCGAACCTCACCTGGCGTGGCCGTTGCTTGTCTAAGCATAGCCCCTTGGTTACGGAAAGGTTTGCCATGAGCCAAGCTTCAAATCATGGCGGAGGCTGGCAGCAGCGAGTGCGAGAAGGAGGCTCGACACTTCCAGATCTTTCCAAGGTCGAGAAGGACGTCAATGTTAACGCTCCGGAAGAGGGTTCGTCCAAGACGCAAAGCAGTCATTCATAGAATGCGGAGTGCTTTTCAGGACTCGCCTTTCGGAACTGGTCCCGGACGAAAGGCCTATCTCCTGGGAGGAAATTGAAAAGCTGAGACTGAACCAAACAGCTGGGAAGGATGTACGGACTTCTTTGCTTTGTTTGGAGGTGACGTGCGTTGGCACCTCGGGCGTCTCGCTACCATCTGGCTTCACAGAGCCATCCCTACAGCCGTTGGTGCCTGCACGAAACATCGAAGAGGCATGGGGTATCCAATTCAAGGTGTCATACCGTCATATCGCCTGATTTGGCAGTCGAGTTAGCTTGAGCTTGCATGTCCAGGTTTGGGCATACAACGATGCAGGCAGATACGGGGCCAGCGTGCGGGGCTCAGGTGTTCTCTCCTAGTCCCAGAAGCTTGTTGGCGATGGGGCACTGCTATTCATAGCTTCACAACTAGCAGTTGATCCTCGTATCCAAGGTACAAGGCATGCGCTTCGCTGCCATTGCCGTAGCAAGGGGTGAAGACAATGGTGGTGCCTTGGAGGGATGCTGAGGGCTGTTTCGGGGCATCTCTTCTTGCTTGATCTTTTCAGTTTAGGCGTGTAACGGAAGTAAGGCAGCCTACAGATAGTCTTCGGCACCGATGTGCCCTCTGCTGCCCCCGTCTGGAATGAAGCAGACTGTGATTTCGGAACTTCGCTGAAGTCCGGTGCAAGGCGCGAGACTGATGTCTCTTGGGGGGTGGTGCTGTCAATCGCTGTTGTTGTGCGCAGGGCGGATTCTGCAGCCAAGTCTGCAGCCAGCAATATCACCTGGGAGGGCACCACCTGGCGAATCTACCGCCAGGCTGACGAGACTGGACAGTCAGTTCTGTCCTGTAGAAGTGAATAGGGATTCCTCCAGGGTTATGGGTAGTTTCAAACCCAGGAGACAGCCACCCTGTATTGGGAAATTTGCGGGAGGGTTTCAGGTCAGTTAACAAACTGATTCTTCCTTATCAGGTTCAGTTCTTAGACTTCACGTTTGAAGCTTCCGAAGTGAAGTCTAAAAGAGCACTTTTGTTTGGGAAGTGTGTGCTGTCAGATTCCGACGTGTACATGGCTTTCAATGTTTTTTGCCAGCATGTTCGAGCAGGTGACATGCGTCGGCACCTGGGGAACTCATACCCCCTGGTCATTTGTGAAGCCTTCATCGACACCGGATCCAGTTCCCAAAAGCTTGACTGAGGTGGGAGGCATGCAATTTGGGATCTGTGCAGGACCTATTGGCTGATAAGCCCTGCAAGGTTTGGGAGGCAAATGTAGCTGGAGACTATGGCTCCAATGCCGCAGCCTCTGCAGATGCGACTGTTCCGTTCTGATAAGTTGTTTCGAGCCGAAGTGCAGTGCCGGGGAAGGTGGAGTTTGCAGATGTGACTGAATGAGGTCAAGGGCATGCGGTATGCCATCATTAGTCTTCTGGATGGACAGAAAAATGGAGGCTAGCGTCGTAAACTCTGTTTGGTTTCGTGATGCAAGGGCACAAATCAAGATGTCAGAGTGGATCTTCAGGAAAGTACCTCATCCTTTTCAGCAATGCTTTGCCACCGGAGTCAGAGACACTCAGCCAGGATTAGGTCCCAAGCATGTTGAATTTGCAGCAACATCCTTCTGAGGAATTTGTGGGATGACCAGGACTGCGAGTTCGGTACCAAGGCACGCAGCCAACAGCCTCATCGAGGTCGTGCCATCAGTCCCAGCATCGTGCGAGGCACTCCTGATGGGTGCTAGCCCAGCTGCTGTTCCAAGGCAGGTTACCTACAGAGAGCCATTCCTGTGTGCAACTGTGCACGTGCAACTCAGAAGATGCAATGAGGAAAGAGAAAGAGACGGCCTTTGGCGGGACGACCTGGCGCTTCTACAAGCGCGAGGTGGGAAAATGTTAGGGTTCAATACTGGTCGGTATGCCAGGCTGTTGGAGGGGGTGTTAGCAGCTCTGCCTGCTTCTGCCTTGCGGATGCCAGGCAAGCTGCGCTGCAAAAGTTGCGAGAATCGAGACTGGCAACCTTGTTTGCGAGAGCAACAACTGGTGGGGAGGTTCGAGTGATGGGATGCTTGCGGTGCTTCTTCCAGTCCACGCCAGCTCCAATCTTTACGCAGAAGACCCCACATCTTCACACCATTGCATCAACCCGCTCACACCGGCCTCGGCTGTACTCAACTCAATCATGATCAGATGTATCCATGAAGCCTCAGAGACGCGGTTTTTCTGCCAGGATGGAGGAATAGCAGAGACTGCACTCCCCAGATCACATCGCAGGGTGATCTGACCACATGGAATAGGGGATATGGCACCTGGGCCCTTTTAGATATCCCAACATGTTCGGAATTTCTCAATATCCGGTGATGGCCAAGCAGAGGAGAGTTGTGCTTTTGCTGAGGTATCCACTTCACAGAATGGGCGAAGATCACGCTGTCGCAGCCTGCAAAGGTGTCGCAGGTGGAGGTCTTTCACTGGAGAGGCAGCATGGGTCGCTGTGGTTGCTGAGCTTGCGCTGAGCAGTGTGTGATAGTGCGTGCTGGGAATGTTCACAGCCTGTAGCTGCTAGCCATCCAGCAAGCTCTCTTTGCAGGCCTTGAGTGCCCCTACGAGTTGCAATATGACTCAGGGGTATCTTGCCTTCATTTTGGGGGCAATGTTTTCTCATTTTTCGAGTGTTCAGGAGTATGAGCCTTGTTGGTGGCTGCAGCTGGCCTCACCTCGCTTCTGTCCGCTTCACCAAGGATGGTCGCTGGGTCAAGGCTTGCGAGGTTTCCGGCACTGTCGCCGGCAAGGACGCTGCCATCATGTTCTGGTTTCCGGCTGAGGAATCTGAGGAATACCATAATTACTCCGCATGCGGCTTGCAAGCAAGAAGCACGCTGCATCAATAGGAGACCTGTTCATCTGGATTTCCAGCCGCACCACTGGGAGCTCTTCGGATCTGGAAGCCACGACAGTCGCGGTGCCCTGCTGCTCTTGTCGCATTATTTGTCCCCATGCTTCCTGAAGCAGAAAGTTCCAAGGGAGCCTGGGGCCATCTCTCCCTGCATGTGTGGCATGATGGGATGCAGTAGCACTTCACTGTCATGTCACTTTCAGTATCCAGTTTGCTCGAGCATGCCTGGTGAATTTTCCAAGATATTTCTTGTGTGTTAAACGTCCATGCTGTCACATTATGGTTGGTTGCGCAACTGCTGGCTACTATGAAAGCAATGGCATTGCAGAACTTATTCTGTCCCGCCCAGCTTTGCCTAGGATGTATGGTTTCGCCTCACTGGAGTCCGTGTGACAGGTGCCCAATGCCAGGCTTGGGGTGACCGAGACAGCATCCGCAAAAGCCAGGTTTATATGTGTCCACAGTTGTGCTATGCTGGAGGCTTGGTCGAAGTGCTCGCAGCCCTTCATTGCAAAAGCTGCCTGGACTGCTTCGGGCAGCGGAAACCGGGATGGTGGCCTGCGCGGCGAAGCCAGGCTTAATAGTCGCAGTCTCTACAATAACTTGACGACTACCTAACTTGTGACTGTGGCTCTCCCGGATTGACCGTTCATGGCATTTTGAAAGTTTATTCTAGATTCGACTGATCGAGCTCGCTTGCGGGATAGGGTGAAAAAACTCTATAAGCATCAAAAAGCTCTCCAAGCATCGAAAGGAAACTTTTTAAGCATCAGAAATCACTTCTGTTTTTCATCAGCTTTGCTAGTTCTCATCATTTTTCATCACGTTCATCATAGTTTCCTTACTATTACATGATATTCTTAACGTTTTCCTATGTTTTCATCATTCGTCAGAGTTGCTTCGTGATTTCTTTCATTGTTCTTCATGATGTTCACGATGATTCATGATGTTGCATGATTTTCACATCATTGTTCATGTGTTTTAATATATTCTTTTCATCATTTCGATATTTTCATAATTGTTCATGATTTTCATCATCTCTAATGATCGTCTTTAAATCTTCATCAGTCTCCATATTTTTTCTATCATTCTCATCCTTTTTGATCATGTTCATCTCCTTCTCACCATGAACCGCATCACATTGCCAGGTCAAAGCGGCGGAAGAAAGCACATGTTCTAATCCTTGTCCAGGTTTTGCAGCTGGGGCGGGGGACTGCGCCCCTCCCACCCCTCCGTCTGTTTTTTTCAAAGCACATTAACGCAAGCACTTGTCATCATATTCACCTTCTTCACCATGATTTGCCATCAGTTTCCTTTTTATTCATCATTTCCATTGTTTTTGGCACTTTTTGCAATGTTCATTTTTTCAACATTGTTTCACTTTGCATTGTCGTTCATGATGTTCATGATTTTCATTGTTTTATTTTGTGATTTTCAGCGTTGTTTGTCATTTCCATCAGGTTTCACCATGCATCAGCATTTATACATTTCATGATTTTCATGGTTTTCTTGATTTTGATAATTTTCATCATGTTTCTTCATTTATCATTGTTTCTCACCTTTTTCATTATTTTCATGAGGAAACCATCAGTTTTCATGTTTTCATGATGCTTCATGCTTTTCTCTCATTTGTAGATAATTTTTAACCATTTTCCACTATCTTCATCACTTCTTGTTTTTTCAGTTTTTTCAGCAATTTACCTATTGCTCCCACCAATACTGTTGCTATTACTTTTGCCAATACTACTGTTTCTGCTAGAATTATTTTGCTTATTATAAGTAGTAGTAGTAGTAGTAGGAGTAGGAGTACATCGCCGGGCGGATAGTTTTGTCGCACGTACATGTTTCTACATTGCGGAGGACGTGGAGTACTCAGAAGCTCATGTCCTCTGGCGGAGGAATGGCCACGCTGGAATAGACTAGACTTAAGTTGTTTCAGACGCAGGACTTGACGCCTTGAGCTAGTGGAGGAGTCTATGGAGGAAGGGGATTAGCGCGGTTCAAGCTGAAGACATGGCAATGCAACGAACTTTCCGCTCGCCGCAGTAGTAGTAGTAGTAGCAGTAGTAGTAGTAGTAGGAGTAGTAGTAGTAGTAGTAGTCGTAGTAGTAGTCTTAGTAGTAGTAGTAGTCTTAGTAGTAGTAGTAGTAGTAGTAGTGGTAGTGGTAGTGGTAGTGGTAGTAGTAGTACCCACGAGTCGGATATCCGACGGTGGGGTTTTTGAGCATTTGTCGACCTCAAACGGTGTTTTCGCTGTGGAAATTCTGCAATTTTGCAGATTTCCTTCAAGACGTTGCCAGGCGCAAAACGTCAGTTTTGGCACCACGCGCGTTTTTCGCGTTTCGCTATGGGAATTTGTTGATTTTTACGTATTTTTTGCGTTCTCGCTGTGGGAATTCACATTTTTTCTCGTTCTTCACGTTCTTGTGTCCTGACTCATGTTCATTCTGTTTGTTTTCGCTGTGTGCATTTCATCATTTTGAGGTTTCGACCTCTT